GGAGCAGTGGCGGTACCGTCTGGAGGAGTAGATGTGCCCGTTGGACCTGAGGTGAGGTAGAACTGTCAGACCTATTTTCCTAGCAAAGGAGTTAAAATGAAATTTAATTTAAGAAAAATTTGAAAAATAAAAGCAGTAAGTATACAAAATAACAGTACAACCACTGGAACTATTTTGAAGTGCTTTCGGTTGTTGATACATTTAGCTGTCACCAACTAGGTGTTGGGGTCTTTTAGAAGTTTAGGCTTCATCTTGCCTATCTTGCCTTTTTTTTTTTAGTGTTTATTTGTTTTGAGAGAGAGGCAGGGGTAGGGGGGTGGGGGGGAGAGCATTCCAAGCAGGGGACATGGGGCTCAAACTCACAAACTGTGAGACCATGACCGGGGTCGGACGCTTACCTGACTGAGCCACCCGGGCACCCCTTTAATGGTGCTTGCCTTTAATGGTGCTGCTGGTAAGTCACGGGCAGCTTTGGTCACAGTAAAATTCCTCCCACACTTTCTTTATCAAACAAGAAGACCTGATGTTTTGCCTTCATTTACTGTGGTGTGTTGACCACTTTAGCTGACTTGTTACTGTCACAGGCTTGAGAATTTAGTATTTAAAAAAAAAAATTTGTTTTTTTAGTGTTTATTTATTTTTGAGACAGCGAGAGACAGAGCATGAACGGGGGAGAGTTAGAGAAAGGGAGACACAGAATCCGAAGCAGGCTCCAGGCTCCAAGCTGTCGGCACAGAGCCCGACACGGGGCTCGAACTCAAGCTGTGAGATCATGACCTGAGCTGAAGTCGGATGCTTGACCGACTGAGCCACCCAGGCGCCCCATGAGAATTTAGTATTTTTAATTTTTAATGATCGGGCTTTGTCCTTTACATTTTGCCCAACTTCTTCCCCCTGCCTCCTTTCTCTCATTCTCTTTTGTTTGGCCAAATTTATTGAGGGATCATTCACATACAGTAAAATCTATGCCTTTTTTCAGTGACCTGTTCTGTGGACTCTGACAAACGCATACTCACATAACACCACCACCCACGGTCGAGGCGGACAACAACTCCGTCGTTTCTAGAAGTCTTCTTGTGCCTGGTCGCTGTCCATTCTCCACCCCCATCCAGCAACCACTGATCTGCTGTCTGTCCCCGTAGTTTATCTTTTCTAGAATGTCCCATGAGAGGAATCCTGTTACGTAGCTGCTTGAGTCTTGCTTTTTTGACTTAGCGTGACGTATTTGCGACCCGTCCTTGTTGCTGTGTGTGTCAGTAATCCACTCCTTTTTATTGCTCTGTAGTAGTTTATCGTGTGTGTGTGTGAGAGAGAGAGAGAGAGAGAGAGAGAGAGAGAGAGAGAGAGAGAAAGCAAGCGTGAGTGGAGGAGGAGCAGAGAGAGAATCCCAAGCAGGCTCTGCACCGTCAGCCCAACGCAGGGCTCCAGTTCACAAACTGCGAGGTCATGGCCTGAGCTGAAGTGGGACGCTTAATCGGCTGAGCCACCCAGGCGCCCCCACAAAGTACTCTCGTACACTGTATTAACTGCCTCTTTGCTTGGTTTTTAGTTAGTATTTTGTCATATATTTGGTTAAAACTGTAAGGCCTTTTCCTTAAGACAGGAGAGATCTAGGTCACTGGCCTTTCTTGGGTAGAAATTAAAATGACACCTGGATCTTTTTCCCCCATCCCCCAGTAGTTTACTCTTTAACCTTCTGTTTGGCAGGGGTTATGGTTATTTTTAGAGTGTAGGCAGCAGGGCTAATCTAATTAAACTCCCCCAGCTACCTGGGACAGTGAGCTCATCAATGAGCTCCTCCGAGCTCAGATTCGTTTGCTCTGGACTGAATTTTACATGGAAATTGATCAAGGTAAAAGCAGTGGATTTGCTGGGAATGTAGTGCATTAAAAAATGAAGAAAGCAATTTATGTTTGGGTCAAGTAGGGTCCCTAACCTCTGATTATAAAATAACCATCATCTTTGATGGCGGCGGAGACTCTAGAGCGGTTCTTATACTTGAGACCTAGGGCCCTGTCATAGCATCTTAGCCTGTTTTCAGTTGGACACTTGAGTTCCTGCCCCAGAGTTGAGATGGCGTTAAACTTCTTCATTCTGACAGAAATTTATATGATAAGAACAACAACTCCTTTCCAAAGTGATTGTATCTTATTGTCATCATTTCTTGGCTTTTTAAAAAAGTGGTCCTCCTGAGGGGGAAGGTGTGCACCCAGAGGGGTATGGAATGTGGTCCGGTGGTGTATAGAGAAAGAATGTTGGAATTTTTTTTTCCGCTACAAACATTAAATGTAATATTTAATGTGAATCGGTTAGATAACGTGTATGTGCATGCACGCACACATATTCGGGATTCATGGTAAAAACTTTCACCGATAGGGGTTTATAATCCGTTTTGAGACCACTGCTCCAGAGCGTCCTTCTGCAGAACGTTTAGCGTAGAATTCTGCTTATCTCGACCGTCTCTGGAATTAGCCACTACTGTTTTACAAAAAGAGAAAAATGAAGCCTCAGGAAGGTTAAGTAGCTCATCCAAAGTCAGAAAGGATGCTAATGGCTTACTCATGCTGCAACCCTGGACTAATTTTCAATCTACCACTAATTTTGCTAAACTCCGTGGCCCCTAAGATGTGACCTTCAGAAGCTATCTGCCTTCCAACTCCGTGATTAAACAGAGTTGGCATAAGCATTCACGGGGTTGTCCCTGTTTCTGAATTTAGCAATACGTTCCGTCAGCTTTCTTCCTCACGAAGAAGATCTCATTTTGCAAGAACCGTAAGCCATTTTCCCCAAAAGACCAGCTCTGCAGCCTGGGGTTGAACCGGGAGGCCCTGCTCTCCCCCTCGCCAAGCTAGGAGCTCTGGCTTCTCCTGGTCCCGGAGGCCGGGAGCGCGGCTGTGTTTTCAGGCACCGACCTGAGTCTGCAGCTCAGACCGTCTGGGCCTCTGGAGGAGTTGGTGCAGTTCGGGCTCGAGAAGGGGTCTCCGGAGCCACTTTCTTCTTTGGAGGAGGATGAGGGTGAGGTGGAAAGTAGGGGCCGGTTGAGAGGTTTGCTCCTGGAGGTCAGAAACCTCAGGTCTCTCCTCAGTTGACCATCATCACGTGTGCTTATGACCTGAGGTTTTTAATCTTAAAGTAGCACAGCTTGTTTTCCTTACCCTGGGGGACTTTTGCAGTTTAAATAGAATGGATTTCAGCCCTGGGTGGGGAAGAAGATGCTGCGAGATGCTAAAGAGTAGAAACAGGGACTGCGGCCAGGAGAGGCCGGTGCTGTGTGCAGAACGCTCACCACACGCCGCCTCCGAGCAGCGGCGGGAGGAAACCAGCCGGCCCCGCGGACCGCTCTTCGCCAGTCGTTTTCTGCGCGGCTTCACAAATCTGTGCTTTGTTGGCATTGTCTCCCAGCACCCTTCCAGGTCCTTCCCCAGACTCGGCCTTGGTCCTGCCTGTGCATTATTTCCACCCCCCGCCCTGGGCTGCGGAGCGAGCCTTGGGCAGCTGTCTCTTGGCAGGGGACACTTGCTGAAGCAACTTGGATTTCTGTAGAGGAGAGTAGGGGGTAAGGATGCGGGCGGGGCTGCTTCTGGGATAATTGTTATGGGAATGAAAGGGCTGTTGAAAGATTAGAAGCCAGTGTGCCTGGGTACGAGGACCGGAGTCATAATCATACTTTGTCTTTTACCAGTGCCTTTTGTCCAGGCACTGAAAGGGCTTCACAAAATTCTAGTCTGAATAATATTATTCTTCGCTCTTTGGAATTTGCTCGAGGTGGGAGTGAGGCTCTGTAAAAATAATGAATGTGTTCTAGTGGCATAAGAGGAAAAAAAGCTAGGTACCCCGGTTCCCAGACAGAGCTTTGCCGAAAAGGTAAATCTGGTGAAAGTTGGTGGAGTTAGGTGCAATAATGTTTGCTGTTTTATGAAACGGACTGAGATGGAAATGTCACCCTCTTCTTCCCCAGCTTTGTACTCGGTGGCTTGCTTGTAAGAGGAAGAAAGAAACCTTAGGTTCTTTCTTGGGGGCAAGGCGCTCCTTGCTCCTGAATTCTAATTCGGCTTTGCTTCTTGTCGTCCTTAGTTAATGTCTGTGCCTGTAAGTTTGAAGCTAGGCATCTGAGCAAACAAAGCCCAAGCTCTCGCCCCAAGAGCTTGGTCTCTTCTGTCTCTGTTGACTTGTGTGTAAGATGATATTCAGAGTCTGGCCCTCTGCTTCATGTTATGAAGACGGTGTTTCATAAAATTTATGGACACACCTGACTGAATTTACAGCAGAAGATTCCTGCCTGGAGGGCAATGCTGAAGCTAGCTTTTTGTGTTAAGGCTCTGCTTGCAGTACCTGTCACTGGATATATGCCTGCTGGTTCAGGTTTTATTTCAGTTCTTCCTTTCCATCTGAAAAATCATTGCCAGTTAGTTACTCAGGTAAAGAGATAGCAGTTGACCTCCCAAAGATATTGTCTCTTTATGGAATTTAGACATGGGGGAGGGGGGCCTGATAGGATTTTCAGCAGCTGAGAAGCCCTGTTGAGCACAGACTCAAAAAGTTTTTTTTTTTAAAGCTTTAAAAAAAAAAGTTCACTTATTTTGAGAGAGAAAGCAGGAGTGGGGGAGGGGCAGAGAGAGAGAAGTAGAGAGAGAATCCCAAGCAGGCTCCGTGCTGCCAGCACAGAGCCCAGTGCGGGACTCAATCGCACAAAACAGGAGATCATGATCTGAGCTGAAATCAAAGAGTCGGACGCTTAACCGACTGAGCCACCCAGGTGCCCCCCAAAATATTTTTTTAAAGTAATCTCTACTTTAAACCCCCAACATGGGGTTTGAACTTAACAACCCCTATATCAAGTGAGAGTCACATGCTCCAGGGACTGAGCCAGCCAGGCACCCCTCAAAAAGTCATTTTTATGAAAACGATAAAGGCTGTGCGTTGTTAAATCTCCTGTCCCTTTTCTCTTCTCTCCCAGACTATTTCCTAATTGTTTCCTTTTCTTCCTCTCCTAAATGCAGGCTGGCTACGGTAAACATCGTTCAAGATGTCCAGCAAAGGGAACGGCGCAGAAGGCAAAACAGACTTGGCCAACGGTAAGGGGCCACCTGAGGGTCTCCTCCTCCCCCAGGGAAAGTGGAGGCCTGGAGTTTAGTGGAGGGAAGGACATCTTTCCTAAGAGTGGACCTTTCCTGCGCTGTTTTGTGTGTAGGAAACAAGGAGTTGTGGGAAGGTGCGTTTCCCCACTTGTGATGGGAGGTCTCTTTCTGTGGTAGCTTATAGTTCGATAGAGCTAGTGGACGACAGACGGAGTTACAGCCTGGACCGACTGGAGTCAGGGCTTGCTTGCTTTGCTTTGTAGGGTGTTGGCAAGTATTAAATCACTGGGTCGAGGGCAGGTTTGAAGGTAGAATGTCGGGATTTTGACATGGGTTATTCAATCAGTGCTTGAACCCTGAGCCAGCTTCTTTTTTTTTTTTTTAATTTTTTTTTTCAACGTTTATTTATTTTTGGGACAGAGAGAGACAGAGCATGAACGGGGGAGGGGCAGAGAGAGAGGGAGACACAGAATCGGAAACAGGCTCCAGGCTCTGAGCCATCAGCCCAGAGCCCGACGCGGGGCTCGAACTCACGGACCGCGAGATCGTGACCTGGCTGAATTCGGACGCTTAACCGACTGCGCCACCCAGGCGCCCCCTGAGCCAGCTTCTTAACTGAGAAATGTCCTTCAAATGCATAGAATTGGGCAGCACAAGAGTCTAGCGTTCCTCAACACCTTGCGGGCCAGGACTACAGGCTAAATTCTAGTTGATGTGATTGGTGGAACAGTGAAGCGGAGTAAGGAAAAGTGAGATTTTTAAAAAATGCTGTGAGGGGCGCCTGGGTGGCTCAGTCGGTTGAGCGTCTGACTTCAGCTCAGGTCATGATCTCATGGTCCATGAGTTCGAGCCCCGCGTCGGGCTCTGTGCTGACAGCTCAGAGACTGGAGCCTGTTTCAGATTCTGTGTCTCCCTCTCTCTCTGCCCCTCCCCCGTTCATGCTCTGTCTCTTTCTGTCTCAAAAATAAACGTTAAAAAAAATAAAATTAAAAAAAATAAAATAAAATAAAAAATGCTGTGTATTGCTCCTTTGTTCCCTTCTTATCATTGCTCTTCATTCATCTTCTTTCTGTAAAAGACAGTGGTTCAGATTTTTTGCTGGGCTTAATTGAAAAGTTCAGGGTTCTAGAGTGGTTTGGAATTTGGCTGTTAGCCAGATCGGGGATTAGCGGGCTATGGCCAGCAGACCAGATCCAGCCTGCCACTGTTTTTGTAAAGTGTGTTGGAACACGGTCACGTCCCATTCATTCACATGGTGCTTACGGGTCCTTTTGTGCCGTAACAGCGGCATCGCGTACTTGCGACAGGGCCCTTTGTAGAAAAAATTTGCCAGCCTCTGGGCTAGATCTTGGTCATCGACTGTTCGGGTCATCTTGCTGAGCTCGCGATTTGCTCTGGCCCTTAACTTAATCTGGTAGAGCCCCCAAGTCATCTTGATTTGTTAATCATAATTTTAACAGTAAATGCTAGGATTTTCGGCGTTTACATCTTCCTTCTGCGTAGAAGCGAAAGTGTGGTATTTCGTCCTTTCTCACCACTCCCAGTTTCAAAGCCAATTGTGTGTCAGAAACCACAACTACTGATCTTTCTCAGCATCCACAGCGGTCTCAGCAAATGTAGTTCCTAGGAGAAAATTGCTGCACTTTTCCCCCATTTCTTCCAGTTCCTGCACCACTTGTTTTCATGCTGGGATCTTAGTTGGGGTGCTTTTTTGAAAAGAGCTGTTTATGTGTCTCCCAGCCTTCTGTCACTGCTTGAACCAAAGTGCTTGTATTGTTCATCTGTTTTCTGTGTTGGGTTTTGCCTCAGAGTTCGTTGTGAAGGGGTTCCGTTGCCACAAAGATTTTTAGAAATTGCCGCTCTGCTCCAGGTGACTAAGCGGTCAGGCACTGCTTTGAACCCTTTAAACGTCATTGTGGGGTTGGATAGCTCATACCAGAGTCGCCCATCGCTGGTCTGCTTTTCCTAACAGCCTTTACTTCTGGTAAGGTAAAATTTGGCGTCATCAGGAAAGGAGGCCGTGAACAGTGTTCAAAATCCTCATTCCCTCCTTCCTTTCTTCACACCTCGGCTTCAGTGTGGAAGCTGTGGCCGTATTGGCTCTAGCACATTGCCAGAGTGCTCGCTGAAATAAGATCTGGCTGTCGTTGGGAGAATGCAGTGTCTCGTTGTCAGGGGTTAGATCGCTCCAAGTGGCCCAGTTCTTTTATGGCCACCAACATGGCAGACTGAAAAACGTGGTGAACTTCCCTTCCCGGGTGCCACTCTGGTAGCGTTGCTTGTCATCAGTTTTGCGTGTGCTTCCTGGTAAAACTCTACCTCAGGGTAGAGTTCCAATAACTAGATGTAGTGTTTATTTTATAATATAATATTTATATTTATTTATTTAATAATTATAATTATAATTATATAATTATAAATATAAATTATAAATATAAATTATATAATTATAAATATAAAATAGAATTATAAAATAAATATATTTAATATATTTATAATATAGTGTTTAACGTTATTAAATTAATGGAAGTTATTAGAACACATTTATTAGCGAACAGCGAACCAGGAACCCAGGACCACAGTTACCGCATGTCCCTTCTACCTCCTTCTGGATTCTTAGTGGACTTTAAGACCTCAAGGGAAGAAACTGGGATTTAGGAGGTGGGAGGTGGTGGTACTTCCTTGAAGTAGGAAATCGTTCTTCTCTACCCCCACTGTCAGAATGATTTTAATCTGTTATTTTCTGCCTTCCTCTAAGAAGATGGAGGTGCCAGCTGTTGCTGGGAATGGCTGTTCTTTTTTTTTTTCCTATTTGACTTAATTGTTTGCTGTGCTTGATAGACGTGTGTCCAGCAGAACAGAGCTTAAGGTAGTTGTATCGGATGTACTTGGACTCAACCTGGCTGTGCTTTGCTAGAGGGAGGCGGTGGCGGGGGGGGGGGGAGTTATCAGACTCTTGGGCTGCCCTGTGGTTCTTCACTTGGGTTGAAGCACCTTTGTTTGCATGTGGCTTTGATCTTAATCTTTCCAGTTCCTTGTCCTGTACGAGACTCCCCCCTCAGAAGGTCTTTATGGTAAGCACTTGAACAAAAGCACGTTGACCAGAGTTGGTTTCTGGATCGTTAGGCGTGATGATTTCTTGGACCGAGGAGGAAACATCCTTCTGATCACTCTCCCGTTTCCTTGTTTTCCCCCTCGCCCGCCCATTCCTCACTACCATGCAGGAAGCCTGTCTAGCAGTCCAGAGGAGATGTCTGGCGCTGAGGAGGGGAGGGAGACATCCTCAGGCATTGAAGTGGAAGCCTCAGACCTGAGCTTGAGCTTGACTGGGGATGATGGTGGCCCCAACCGTGCCAGCACAGGAAGCCGGGGTACAGATACGGAGAGCTCAGGTGAAGACAAGGACTCTGACAGCATGGAAGACACTGGCCATTACTCCATCAACGACGAAAACCAAGTCCATGACCGCTCAGAGGAAGAAGAGGAAGAAGAGGAGGAGGAGGAGGAAGCGCACCCTCGGCGCCGTGTCCAGCGGAAGCGGGCCAACCGTGACCAGGACTCATCAGATGATGAGCGGGCCCTGGAGGACTGGGTGTCTTCGGAGACATCCGCCCTGCCTCGACCTCGGTGGCAAGCCCTTCCTGCCCTTCGGGAGCGGGAGCTGGGTTCTAGCGCCCGCTTTGTCTATGAGGCTTGCGGAGCAAGAGTCTTTGTGCAGCGTTTCCGCCTGCAGCATGGGCTTGAGGGCCATACTGGTTGTGTCAACACCCTGCACTTTAACCAGCGCGGCACCTGGCTGGCCAGTGGCAGCGATGACCTGAAAGTGGTGGTTTGGGACTGGGTGCGGCGGCAGCCAGTGCTGGACTTTGAGAGCGGCCACAAAAGCAATGTCTTCCAGGTGAGGCAAGGGGGCAGGACGGCCACTGGGAAAGTCAGGCAGGAGTTAGACAAGCCTGAGGTGCTTGGAGCGGGAGCAGACAGTGAGTCTGGACTGGCCTCAGGGCCCAGTCGTGTCGTGGCTCCCTTGATCACTTAGAGGAGTTAAATACGCTGAAAGAGCCATGACCGCCTTTCGTTCTTCCCAAGCCTGGTGGCGGTCAGAAGCCTCGTTATAGGTCGGGTGCTTGGAAGTCATCAGGAAGGTACTCAGGGGACCCTGGTAGAAGGCATCCATCTAAGAGCAGAGGCTCTTGAGCCAGACGGGGTTCCCATCCTGGCCCTGCCCCCTCGCTAGCTTTGTGATCTTGGGCAAATTCTGTAATCTCCGGCTTCAGTTTGTGTATCTGTAACGTGGAGCTAGTAACAGGATCGTGAGGATTAATACGGAAGCTGAGCAGTCTAGAATCCTGTCTTGTACTTAATAAACGTTTGATGAATATCTGTTAGTATTGTCCTTCTCGTTTACTCATCAGCCTCTCCATCATACTGCAACTAGCATTGATTCCTGGGTGGGAGCTCTTCTGCGGAGAGAAGGCACTGGTTGCCTTTGTAACAAGTTTCCCTTTGCTTCCTGAATCAAGATAGACTTTCCTCCTCTTTTCCTTACGGTTCTCCCCTCGTAGGCGTAGCCCTAGTTCACCTGAGCACTAATCCTGTGCCAGTTCAGCCTTCCAGAGTCACCTGCAATGCCATCTTCTATCAGAAGGTTTTCCTCCCTCTTCTTTAACTCTTGGAAGAAACGGGATTTGAGCCAAGGGTATAAGGCTAGGAGAGCCAAGTTTCCAGCCGATGCCCAACAGAAGGGATGGGGTGGGGCCGTTATCCCGTTTTTCCCTCTCAGATTCACCTCCTCAATTTCTTTTGTGTATCCCTTTTTGTCATTAACGTTCCAGGCCAAGTTCCTTCCTAACAGCGGTGACTCCACCCTGGCCATGTGTGCCCGTGACGGGCAGGTGCGGGTAGCAGAGCTGTCTGCCACACAGTGTTGCAAGAACACGAAGCGTGTGGCGCAGCACAAGGGAGCGTCCCACAAGGTAAGTAAGCTCTCGCCCCCACGGTTGTGTGGTCCAGCTCCTCAGCCCCGGATCTCAGCCAAGGCCTTCGTAGATCTCTGCCCATTGTGTCCCTTCTGTTGTGGACACCTGCCTCACTTCTCTCAGTCCTAAAATTTGTAGCTGGAAAGGGAGAAAAAGCAGCCACAGCCACCCTAAACTTCTTGGAAGGCAAGTGTTTGAGAGCTCTCTGGATTTTGCACGTGTGGCATTCAGTTGATGAAGCCGAAGCCGACTCACGGTTCCTTTGGAAATCCTTGAGGTCTCCTGCGGCTTCCAAACTTCTTAAATCTACTTCGATTGTATCTAGAACATCTTAACGGCGCCAAAGCCCTAGTGGTCGGCTGCTCGCATGTGAGAGCACCAACTTTTTGCCCAGGTCTCAGGGCACAGACAGCACTATTTCTGGAAGCCCTATTTAGAACTGGGAATATAGGACAGACAGTCATGGGGGCAGCCAGTGAGGAGCTGCGAGCTGCCTAGTCTCAGAGTGGTCATACTGTGGGAGGAGAGTGGCCCGCTTTTACAAACCCTAAGCTGATGCGTATCCTTTTCTAGCCCAAATGGCTCGGAAAATATGAAAATTACCTATTTCTTTGATTCTTAAGCCTACCCCAAACCTGCTAGTTAGCTAATTTTCGGAACTACGATGTAAGAGAGTGACACTTGGGCACCATTTTTCTGCCCGCCCGAGAGTGGAATTGATTCTGAGAATGAACGTTAATGGCTGACGTTTTTCTTTGGTATTGTTACTCAGATCCCTTGAGGACTTAGTTGAAAAAGCAAAACTCCTGTCCTCTCGACTTGTATGGGATCAACAAGCTCTAACTAATTCACACACAACAAGAGAGAATGGGTTTATTAGTTCTTTTCCTGGGGTTTTATAACAAAACAGCGAGGCAGGTTTCTCGCTTAGGTGTTAGTTAGTTAGTTAGTTATGGGACAGAGGGCACAAATGAGTGAGGGGCAGAGAAAGAGAAAGAGAGAAGTTGGGGCTCACCTGGGGCTTGTGTTTTACCCAAAACAGGGCTCATGCTCACCCGAAGCAGGGCTTGAGCTCACCAGATGTGGAACTAGAACTCATGAACTGTGTGAGATCATGACCTGAGCCCAAGTCAGATGCTTAACCACTGAGCCACCCAGGCGCCCTCTTGAGATACTTAAAATGCAGTCCTTCCCGGGGTGCCTGGGTGGCTCAGTCAGTTAAGCATCCGACTTCGGCTCAAGGGTCATGATCTCACAGTTCATGAGTTAGAGCCCCCCTTCAGGCTCTCTGCTGTCAGCATGGAGCCCAGTTCAATCCCCCGTCTCCCTCTCTCTCTCTGCCCCCCCCACTTGTGCACGCACACACACACTGTCTCTATCAAGAGTAAATATTAAAAAGTAAATAGTAAATAAAATGCAGTCCTTCCTAAAGATAAAGGAATAAACTAGATGGCCCTGATTCTAATCTGTAGAAATCTCATGCTTTCTTTTTTTCTCCTTCAGTTGGCCCTGGAACCGGACTCTCCCTGTACGTTCCTGTCTGCAGGTGAAGACGCCGTTGTTTTCACCATTGACCTCAGACAAGACCGGCCAGCTTCGTAAGTGTAGCAGTAGATATTTTTACATCACTGGACCTCTTGGCCTTGAAAGTACCCTACGTGTCCTAGGTAATACCCACCTCTCCGGTCAGTCTCCAGAGTCCCTCTGTGCCTATGCTAAGAAGCAGATTGAGGTTTAGGGCAATTCCTCACTTCTTTGTTGTTGTTTGTCTGTTTCTCAGCAGTGTAGCACTGTTCATGTGTACTTTTATTTCCAGAACGAGATTCAGTCATCTTACGTGTGAGCTTGAATACCTTGTTGATCTCCTCTCCGTTCACTTGGGTGCCACTCAGCTCACCCACAGGAAGCACATCACCCTGCAGGGCAGCTGAGAGATACGGTCCTATGTAGTTTTCAGTTATTTATAGAAACATGTAAACAAATGATAAATCTTGAACAAAAATATTGGTAGCTATAATAGAGTTCTGTCTTACCACAGCTCATTTATACATGAATTTGAGACTCGTGATTAATGATTAAACCCTTATCAGCTATGTGATCTCATAGAAGGAACATAGCATCTTGCTTGGATCTGGACAGACCTGGGTCAGATTGCGACTCAGGCACTACTAGTTACGACCTATCTGACTTTTCTGAACCTCTGTTTCTTCTGTCTGACTTTGGGCATAATCAGTATATCTTACTCTCTTGTCTCTGAGGGTTATTGATAAAGGTGCTTGAAGCCCCAGCATAGTGTCTGGCACTGTGTTTGGAACTGATTATATTATGGCTGCTAATTATTTTACTGTGTTAAAATTTTAGTTCTTATAATAAACAAGTACATCTTGTTTAAAAATTTCAAATAATAAAGTATGTGGGCAAAATGTATATGATTCTTCATGCACATCTCCCCCACCCCCACTTTTCTAGCTATTGGTAACCGTTGTTAAAAATTTTGGAATACCTTTCCAATCCTTTTTTATACTTTTATGTATCTTAATATATACATATATGTTTCATCCATGTATATATACACGTACATACACGTAGGATTCTGCAATTTGCTTTTTTCATGTTATAATGTGTTTTTGGAGTTCTTGCTACATCAGACCATAAAGGTCTACTTTACAGCTTTGGTGTAATACAGTTTATTTAATTGCTACCTTGTTGATGGATTATCTAGATTTTTTTATTGTCTTGTTAGTCTTAAAAATCATAACAAATTTTGGGGTGCTTGGCTGGCTCACTCAGTAGAACATGGGACTTTTTTTTTTAAATGTTTATTTTGAGAGAGTGCGCGCGCGCACACACACACACACACAGACACACACACACACACACACACACACACACACACACACACACACAAGAGCTGGGGAGGGGCAGAGAGGGAGAGAGAGAATCCCAAGCAGTCTCCACGCTGTCAGCACAGAGCCCAACTCTGTCAGCACATGAGCCGAATTCACGAATGTGAGATCATGACGTGAGCCAAAACCAAGAGTCAGACATCTACCAGACTAAACCACCCAGGCGCCCCTAGGGAATATAATCTTAAGGCTGATTATTATTAGACTTATTTTTATTTTATTTTTTCTTTCTTTTTATTTATCTTTTTAAGTAAGCTCTATGCCCACCATGGAGCTTGAACTCCCGACCCCAAGATCAAGTCATATGCTCTCCCGACTGAGCCAGCCAGGCACTCCAGACTTTTATTTTTAGAAAGGTCACTATAGAAAAGGTTGTCTAGAAAGTGGAAGAATTTAAAAAATGTTTTAGGCTTGTAGAAAGGATGTACTGTACTTCTATAAACCTTCAAGAGAATGAAGATTGGGAGATTATGGGTTTTACTGGAAGGTGAACAGGCCTGGGTGACAACAGATCTACCTTCTAGACTAGCTTGCAGCTGTTTAGTTGTGAGGAAATAAATTAATTTCTTGATCTGCATGTTTGTGGTTTTCATTTTAAAGTTCCAGAGTAGGGGCAGGGGGAGAAACGCAGAGGTGAAGCAAATGGGCTGAGTTTGTTCGGTCTGCTCTGGTAGAGAGCTGTGAGGCAGGTGGGAGAGAGCTTATCCTGTGCGTCAGGTCCTAGGAAAACCACTGTGAGGCCACAAGGAGTTGGGAGCCCAGTACTGGGCAGAACAGATGAGTGTGTTAGCTTACTGGACTTGGAATGAAATGATGTACACGGTGGCTCTGGTGTGAGCAGTGATAGATGGGGAATGTAGGAGAAACTTCATGTAGGAGCAGGCCCAGATTCTGGATTTGGGGAATCAGGGACTGTGAGTTTTCAAAAAGTTTTTGCTTTAAGGATTGAAATAGTAGCGGAAAGCTTGACTGAGGTGGGGAGCTGAATGGCTGGAAAATCCAAGCTATTCTTAAGTTTAAGCTGGTGTGTGAACATCCACTTACATCAGAGACGTTTTTGTGTGAAGCTGGCGTAAGGGGAACTTTTACGTATTTATGCTAGCTGCGTCTCTGGAAGCTGGTGGTATTGGCCGACCTCTTAGGAAAAGAGTTGGCTTTGGAGCTGTGGATGGGATATTCGTTTAGCCAGTGGCAGCCAGTTTGAGATCTTCTTCAAAGGAATTCTTTGGTTTGACTTGTAATTATTTTCCTGTTTTTTTAATTTTTTTGCTGGAACATACCTGCTTATTAAAAAACTGCAAATTTTATAGCGAAACTTAGTAAATTTGTTTCCTGTGTTTTTGTGTGCTGCCTCCTCCTAATGTGAAAAACATTTTTCCCCCTGCTGCCATCGCGATTAATCATTGAAACAATTTTTTTTTAAGTTTTTATTTAAGTAATCTCTACACCCAACATGAGACTCGAACTCACGACCCCAAAATCAAGAGTTGCATGCTCTTTCGACTGAGCCAGCTGGGTACAAGATTAATCATTTTTATAGCACATCTGCTAGTTCCCCAGAGGGCCCAAGGTACTCTGCATTTATCCACCGGGAGAGAGAATTCTTTGTTTCAGGTGAATAAAGTGAAGCATTAGAAAGATTGAGTTCTGTCAGGATTACAGGACAGTGAAGCCCTATTTCATAATCTGTCCCTTTTTTTTTTTTTTTTTAAGTTTATTTATTTTGAGGTGGGGAGAGACAGAGAGAGAGGCAGAGAGAGACTCCAGCTCGCACCCAGAGAGCACCATGTGGGGTTCACACTCCCAAGCTGTGAGATCAGGACATGAAGTGAAGTCAAAAGTCGAAAGCTTAACCGACTGAGCCACCCACGTGTCCCCAGGTTTCTTCCTTTTGCTTCCACGTGCTCACCTTTATATTTGTCTGACCCTCTCCTTCTGAAGGTCCAAACTGCTGAGGAAATGGAATGGTCCTGTGAAAAGCAGCATCTGCTCGTTTTCCCCGTCTACAGCCCGATTAGACGGGGCACCCGGGTGGCTCGGTCGGTTAAGCGTCCAGCTCTTGATCTTGGCTCAGGTCATGATCTCTTGCTTCATGAGTTTGAACCCTGTGATGGGCTCTGAGCTGACAGTGCATAGCCTGCTTGGGATTCCTTCTCCTCCCCGCCCCCGTCCACTTGTGTGCTCTCTTTCAAAAAAACAAAAACAAATGATTAGAGCTGTCTCTTCTCCACTGCTGGTTTTATTCCTTAAACTCTTTTTGGAGTGTTTTCTACCTTGTGTTTTTGAGGTTGTGTATGTGTGTGTATTTCCTAATGACATTCATTTTTCATGATTTCCATCTACTGTTTTAATGAAAGGTTACAGAGGTTTTAAAATCAAGTAAAATCTCTCCACTTTGCGTAGCGCATTTCTAGGCTGGAGTGACTTTGACCAGGCAGAGAGGATGCTAAAATCATTTCTTTACCAAGAAACTCGTTGTCATGGTTATATTTCTTTCAGTTTCCATAGCAACAAGATGAGCAAAACTCTAGAATTAAAAACGAAAGCTAGAACCCAGCCCTTTCCTTCCCAGTCTTTCATTTCCTGTAAATTTACTAATCTCTGTGATGTCACATTTGACTGGCTGGACACTTAGACCTGGGAAGCCGTAGTGCCACCTTTAAGCTGGGACAGAATAGAATTATTTAGTCCGAGCCTTCTGGCTACAACCTCAGAATTTTAGAGAGTTTCCTCAGGACCCCAGTACCCTCCTAAGGACTGCCTTTTGTGGTACAATCAGAGGAGTAATTTAGAGAGGATTAGCCAGCCTTGTAGACAGCTGTCTTCTTAGGAATCTCCTCTCCTAGCTCACTTCGGGTAAAGGAAGAATGCTGGTTTCCTCCGGGCTGTCCCTGTGCCAGGAAACTGTGGCTTGTCAGTCTTCAGTGTGCATGTTTAGAGCTGGGTTGTGACACTTCTGTGGAATCCGGGAGACAGATTTAACCCTAAGGTCCCTTCTGGCCACTGTTTTCATGATTGGTCCTCTTGCGGACTGCTCCCAGATGATTGGGAGGGTGTTTTTATCTAGGACGGGAAGGTGTGGGCAGGGTCGTCATGTTGGGCTCCAGCTAAACTGACACTACCTGGGGAGCAGTACTTTTGCGTACGTGTACCTTACATGTCTTGGGGAACGCCGGAAAATGACTTCACTACGCATTTGTTTTTCCATTCCTCAAAGTAGCATTTATTAAATATACGTGGAAGTGATTTTGTCTTGTTCTTGTTCCAGTGTTCAAAACTAACAAAACCACTTTTTCCGTTTCTAAGTTTTTATTTATTTATTTATTTATTTATTTATTTGGAGAGAACATGCACAAACATGTGAGTGGGGGCGGGGGAGGGGGGAGGGGGAGAGAGAGAGAGAAAGAGAGAGAAAGAAAGAATCCCAAGCAGGCTCGTCGCTGTCAGCTCAGTGCCTATCACCGGACTTGAACTCATGAATCGTGAGATCATAACCTGAGCAGAAATCAAGAGTCAAATGCTTAACCGACTGAGCCTCCTGGTGCCCCGAGACCACTTTTTTCTTTCTTTCTCAATCAGAATCTGGTTTCTTCGTAGCTTTGTCTGCATTACTCTCTGCTCTCTCTTGCCATGACCATCTGGGTATTTTCGAGAATATAACTTTTCTACTTTTCTACTCTTAAAGGAAACTGGTGGTGACAAAAGAGAAGGAGAAGAAAGTGGGGCTCTATACGATCTATGTGAATCCTGCCAATACCCACCAGTTTGCAGTGGGTGGACGAGATCAGTTTGTAAGGTGAGTCTGGCTCCTTTGTGTCTCTGAGGAGTTTGAGACTTGACGCATTGGCTGCCGCCAAGTGTCTCTTGTGGGAATGTGTGAATGGCCTAGGAATCCACTGCCTGCCATCTTGAGTTTTTTATCGCCTTCCAAAGAGTTTAAGCTCCTTCTGAGGCATTCTGTTCCCTAATGTAACAGTCCTGATGTGGGGGGTGGGGGGTAGCTTACCATATTATAGAGATGATCAAGTTTTAAAGAAGTTTGATAAATTGGCCAAGGTCCCTACAGAGCAGCTGAGACATAAACCCAGGTTTACTAGCAAATCCTCTATTGGTAAATATTTTCCACCATTTTTCATGTATAAGTTAACATGTACTAAAAATTTTGAATGGTTTCGCATACAGATCTGAGTGGGAGTTCTCACTGTGAACTCAGGGTTTTTGACTCCCACCGTCATGAACCAGTTTTCTTTTTTCATAGTGATCCCTTCGTCACTGTGAACATTTGCTATAACACTTGCTGTTGAGGCCCATCCTAAGGAAAACCAGACTTCAGAGATTCAGTGCTCACGTGCACCACTTAGCTTCCTTCTAGCCCTTCGTCACAAAGTTAGTCACGTCACAAAACCCCTACCCAGTTGGCCTGCGTGAACTATATTTCTGTGGCTATACCATCCCCCTTTGCTGAGTGATCATCAGTTTAAAAGGGAGGAGACAGAGGATCACTAGGAAAATAAATGACTTTTTGCTTTCCTGGTGGTGGGTGGAAAGCATTATCTTCCTTTTTCAACAAAAACTCATTTTTGTAACTGTATTCTGAAATTAATTTCATTGATAAGTGTCTTGGGGATAGATTCAGTTTTTAGAAATGCATGAGAGATGACCTTCCCTTGTTCAAGAATCCTGCCACAAGAGAATTGGGCAACTTTGTTACTCTCTACTTCCTGTTTCCCTCGCTTTTCAAATTCCTGTCCTTTATTCACCAATAACAGATACATAGTGGTAGTTTTTGTTTTGTTTTGTTTTTCAAATAAGAAGCAGTTGATAAACAGGGGTTGGAGTTGTCAGAACGACCAGGTGGTGCCTCCTGCAAATGGGGCATTTACTGAAATTCCTGATTTGGATTTCCTGCCCAGAGCCCTGGATTGCTTGAAAAGTCAGTGTCTGTAGATAATTCACCCACTGGGCCTTGATGTTTGGAGGAGACTGAAGCAGTCGGCTTTATTGAGAACTGCAGTTGATAATGCCTTAATCCAAAGCTAATACTTGGCCATGGTTAGAGTAAAGCTGGAAATTAGTTTTAGCATTTCAGCACAAGGGGAAATACTTCGATTTTCTGTTTCTTACCAGCTTCAGTATCCCCTGTCCCTTTGTACATCCCAGATTCTGAGGAGATACGGGCTATTTACTTGGCAGAAGCCTGTGTGGGTTTTGAGGCCCCCTGACCCTGTGCAAGCAGATGGCCCTTGTAGCATCCCAGCTCTTCTCTGACGTTAGGGTCATCCCCAGTTTCTCTGGCACCTCTTTGGTTCAGCCAGTTGAATGTTTTGGGATTTCCCCATCAGAGCTCACCTTTTCGGTACAAATTTGAAAGTATCGTTACTGGATAGTTTACATCATACGCCAGTTGCTTTCATTCCTAGCCTAAAGGAATTCCTTCAAGGGAACACAGAGAAATAGCTTACGCATCCTCAAGGCCTTTGCATCATGAGTACAAAATTTTGGTTTAGTGTTGTGAGGGAGCGTTGAAAGGAAGCCTAGAGAGACATGCTTTTTGGTCTGTGAGCCCAAAAAGGTGGGGGAAGGAGGGGAAAGAAGGGAAAAAGTAGGCAAACGGAGATGGTGGAGGTGTGAGTGCCTCCTACTAAGTCTTGTTGGGGTTGGTTAACGAAGCGAAAGGCGTGAAGAAGAGGAGAATGTATCAGATGAATGAATCCTGTGGTGGTTGGTGGACAGGTAAATATATTGGTAAAGGACTTGGAGTGGGTAGATGGTCCCTTTGCCTCCCTGTCCTTGGGCTGATCTTCACAAAACAGAGAACACTAGATTGCCGGCAGGTGGCGGGAAAGAGGAGGTGAGGCGGGAAGAGAGAGACTATAACGTGACAGGTTGGTGGGTACCTGGAGGAGCGTGGAGGGAGGTAACATAAGGGTGCTGGGTGCTGAGGTCATGCCGAAGCCACTCTTTATCTGATTTAAAATGTGAAGGGCATAGAAAGACTCACTGCCGCGGAGATGTCACTTCTTCCCAACTGGATCTGCTGATTTGGTGCAGTTCTAATCAACATCCCAGCAAGTTATTCTATGGATAGTGACAAACCCTTTCTAAAGTTTATACAGAGAGGCAGGAGACCCATAATAGTCAACACGGTGTCGAAGGGCAAGAATGAAGCTGGAGGACTGACGCTACCCGATTTCAAGACTTACAGTAATGAAGATGGTGTAGTACTGGCAAAACAACAGACAGACAGATCAGTGGGCTAGACCAGAGAGCCCAAAAGTAGACCTGTGTGAGTGTAGTCCCCTTACCTCTGACAAATGACAAAGGAGTATAGGCAGTCCAGTGGAGCAGAAGTAACCTCTTCCACAGATGGTACTGAGACAGCTGGGCATCCACGTGTGGAAAAAAAGGGAATCTAGGCACACACTTTACACCCTTCACAAAAACTGACTCAGGTGGATCATAGACCTACCAGTAAAACCCCAAACTATAAAACTCTTAGGTGATCACGTGGGACAAAACCCAGATGACCTTGCTGGGGTATGGTGATGCCTTTTTACTTCAATTTTGATTTAATAAGTTTTTATTGTCTAAAGCGTACAGTTGGTGGGATCTATTCATGCGTCTTCACCAGCGGCTGGGGCATCTCCGTCCTTGGTGTTCCTGGTGTAAATAGCTTGAGCTCTGTACTTTGAAACCAGTTTGATAAATCCTTCGCTAAGGAGCTCCTGAGGGGCTGCCTTGGCCAGAAAACCTCAAATCCCCGGTGTCTCAGGACAGACAACAGCTAGAGTCTGAGCTTATGGTTAGGAATGGCCTTCCGGAGTTTGTCATGAGTTGCTTTGTCAAACAAGACCAGGTTATGGAGCTTGTCCCAAACTTTGCCTTTGGACACTTCTTTTTGGCTTTGCCCCCAGATTTGTTCACTGGGTCTTTGTCTTTTTTGGCCAACTTTTTGGCATCTTTCTTCTTCTCGTCGTCCTTGGGTGGCATTGCAAAGCTCAGAGAGCAGCGGGCACCCCTGTGGGCCTTGCTGAGATGTTGGACCAAAAGCGGTGACGCCTTTTCAGATACAACACCAGAGACACGGTTTGTGAAAGAAATAGTTGATAAGGTGGACTTTATTAAAATGAAAAACTTCTGCTCTGTAAAGGCACTGTCGAAGAGAATTAGAAAACAAGCCACAGATTGGGATTAAATATTTGCAAAAGACCTATCTGAGAAAAGACCGATGTTTAAAATACATAAAGAACTTTTAAAACTCAACGATAAGAAAACAGCTCAAAAAAAAATGGGTCAGAGACCTTAACAGACGCCTCACTGAAGAAGGTATATAGGTGGCAAGTAAATACATAAAAAGGTGTTCCACCTCTGTGTCATCGGGAAAATACATATCAAGCAACCAGAGACTGCTACAGAACACGGACCACAGCAAATGCTGGCAGGTATGTGGAGCCACGGGAACCCTAACAATTGCTGGGAATGCAAAATGGTACAGCCACGTTGGAAGACAGTGTGATTGTTTCTCATAGAACTAAACATGCTGTTCCGTTTGATCCAGCAGCCATGCTTCTTGGTATTTATCCAGAGGAGCTGAAAACTTCTGTCCAAAACGAAACCTGTACATGACGTGCATCACAGCTTTATTCATCATTACCAAAACTTGGGAACAACCAAGGTGTCCCTCAGTGGGTGAATGCATAAACTGGGACATCCAGATAATGGGATGGGATTCAGTGCTAAAAACGAAATGAGCTAACGAGGCACAAAAAGACATGGAGGGACATGAAATGCACATTACTAAGTAAAAAAAAAAAAAACAGTCTGAAAAGGCTACATACTATGCGATCCCAGCAACATGATATTCAGGAAAGGGCAGTAGACTCTATGAGTACAGTAAAAATACTAGTGGTTGTTACGGGAGAGGCGAGAAGAACAGGCAGGGCACAGAGGATTTTGGGGACAGTGACAGTGCTCTGTATGATACCATAATGATGGGTAGGTGTCATCATCCATCTGTCCAAACCTGTAGAAAGGACCACGTCAAGAGCGAGCCCTCAGGTAAACTGTGGACTTTGGGTGATCATGATGTGTGGGTGTAGCTTCATCCTTGGTAAGAGCAAACACAAACCACTCTGGTGGGTGTTGTTGATAATGATGGGGATCATGCTCGCGTGTGGACAGAGAGTGTATGAGAAATCTCTGTCAGCTCTCTCAACTTGACTGTAAGCCTGGGACTGCTCTAAAAAATAAAGTCTCTGCCATTTGAAATTTCTTCCTGTCCTATGCTCAGAAAATAAGGGAAAAATTCGTATTCATCTTTGTATCGGCGCTGTCTGGCTCAGTAATTGACAAGCTACACTGCCTGTTTTTTTCCTAAGTAAAGTTTTATTGGAGCACAGCCCTGGCTGTTCATCTACGGGTTATCCAAGGCTGCTTTTATGCTACAGTGGCAGAGTTCAGTAGTTGTATCAAGGACCAGGTGGCTTGTCAGCTTAAAATATTCACTATCTTGCCATTTAAGAAAAGGTTTACCAACCCCTAGTCTAGCTTCACAGCTAGAATATAGTAGTTTTTTTTTTTTTTAAGTTTATTTATTTTGAGAGCGAGAGCACATGCACGGGGGTGGGGGGGTGGGGGGGGCAGAGAGAGAGAGAATCCCAAGCAGACTCCATGCTGTCAGCACAGAGCCTGACATGGGCTTGATCCCATGAACTGGGAGATCTGACCTGAGCCAAAAATAAAGAGTCCAATGCTTAACCGGCTGAGCCCCCAGACGCCCCGTAGGATATAGTAGGTTCTTGATAAATACCGAAGAAAGGGGAAGGAATGTAAAGATTTCCTCATAAAGAGGAGGGGCAGAGCGCATTAGATACTGAGGAATACTGAATGGTCCATATACCAAAATATTGCATATTTAAATGTGTTTTACAGGGCACCTGGGTGGCTTAGTCGGTTAAGCGTCCGACTTTGGCTCAGGTCATAATCACAGGTCGTGGGGTTGAGCCCTGCATCAGGCTCTGTGCTGACAGCTCTGAGCCTGGAGCCTGCTTCGGATTCTGTGTCTCCCTCTTTCTCTGCCCCTCCCCTGCTCATGCTCTGTCTCTGTCTCTCTCTCTCAAAAGTAAATAAACATTAAAAAATAAATATGTTTTACTAATTTGCAGACTTACAAAGTTTACGATTGCTTAGTGACATTTAAGAATTGTTGGTTTAGTTTAGAGGGAAAAAATTGATTATCAGATGCTCTGTTTGTTGAAGAGTACTAATTAGCAATGTAGCAGTCTCCTATTTGTGGGTTTTTTTTTTTTTTTTTGATAGCTAGGGGAGGGGCAGAGAGAGAGGGAGACGCAACTAAGCAGGCTCCGCGATGTCAGCACAGAGCTGTACATGGGGCTCAAACCCACAAAACGTGAGATGGTGACCCGAGCCGAAACCAAGAACCAGACGCTTAGCCAACTGAGTCACCCAGGCACCTGTCCTATTTGTCTTTTCTTTATTCGGTGTTCGTTTGGCAAAGATTTTTGGGTAATTCTCAACGCAGGAGGATATTAAGCAAGAAATTGTGGAGAATAGAAGTATGTATCGATTCATTCATTTCTTCATCCAGTGTTTACTAAGCACCTGCTATGTGCTAGACACACACTTGACTAGACATACAGGGAGCATTCTGGAGAAACAGGTATGTAAGGATTAAAAATACTAAGTAACTTCCCAGGATTACTCATCTACTAAGTAGCGGAGTTAGTATTTGAACTCCGATTGTACGCCTCAGATGTGGTAGAAACCCTTTCACCATGCTGTTCTTTCTCACAGAGGAAATATTACAGACAAAATTAGCGTATCAGGTAGAGGGAGCAGTGTGTGTGGAGGTGAGAGAGTAAGGTTGCGACATGGTTTCTTCAGGGAAGCATCGCTTTCTTGTTTTGTTTTTGTGTAACGTGTAGGATCTTTTGAGAAGAGATGGAGGGTTGTATGTACTAAGGAGTTTGGACTTTATCTAGTAGAAAATACAGAGTCACTGAGTAGATTTTAAGCCGGGAATTTACACAAAATATTGCATTTTGGAATGATTCTGGTGATGACATGAGCAAGGAGGTCAGAAGGATACAAATAATCTCAGCGAAACCTCTCTCTAGGTTGCGGTTTCCCTATACAGAGGCTGGAGAGCCGAAGACCCGGCCTCTGGGGAACATGGGCATTTTGGAGAGACAGACAGACGAGCTCATGAACACCAGTTAGGGGCCGTCGGCCATCAAGGAAAGACACCGTTTGAGGGCAGGAGTGGTGAACGCTGTCGGGATGCGAGAGAGACGCCCCGAGACCCTGCTGTGGGTGGAGGCCGTCAGGTCCTGGTGACTTGAGCCAGACAAGTCTCAGTAGAGGGCTGAGGGCCGAGGCTGGACCGCAGTGGATTGAGAAGTGAATAGGGAGCGAGGAGGTGAAGACGTTGCTGCAGGTTGCTCTGCTTAGTAATTTGACTACAACAGGGAAGGGCAGAAAAGGCAGCGGTGGGGCCGGTCAGTGGAGGGAGGGTTTTTGGGAAGTGGGTGGACAGGCACGAGGAGGAGGTTGAAGAGTAGACAGACGGAATCAGGTCCTGCAGGGATGAAGTTAAGAGCAGCTGCGGAGAGGAGGCGCGGAGACTGGAGGAAACACGCCGCCGTGTGTGGTTTCTCCCGGATGTCCAGCGCCTGGCGGGACGCTCGCACACGACATCTGCCCCAGATGTTGGAATGGATGGTCGGAGGTTGGGTTGCAGAGATGAGGGAAGGGGACCGTGGTTGGATGGGAATGAGGGCGGGAGAGAGGACGTCTGGAGGAGATCCTGGTGTGGTGGGTGTTCGTAATTGCCACCGTGGGGAACGAGAGGGAGAACCAGCCAAGTAAGGGGCCAAGACGGGACTGAAGACCCGAGGACTTGCACGAGCCCGGCCTGGTAGCAGCGGACCCTGTTGGGGAGCTTTCGGTGGAAATCAACCGTAAGCGATTACAAGCTGGGTGAGGAGAGAAGCCGCTTCAGGCTGATGGGGTTTAGGATTACCACCTGGAGAAGAGCTAGGGTTTGGAAGGGGGTAGGAGAGGCGGGCCTTCAGGGAAGAGCGGGAGCCAGAAGCCTGGTTGGGGACTGTCCTTTATCTGTCCTGACCTCCCACTGGCTGTGGTTCCCGCCACCACGCATTGCAGCTCTTCAAGGGATCGGTTTGTAAGTTGTAACATCTCCGTCGTTTCCGCCCACGGCAGGATTTACGACCAGAGGAAAATTGACGAGAATGAGAACAACGGAGTGCTCAAGAAATTCTGTCCTCACCACCTGGTAAGGTTCACGAGGGGCCGGTGGTTCCAGGCTTCCCCGACTCAACCCCAAGGCTGTCCCCAAACTTGTCGGCCTGGCGGGTGGAGCTTGGACTTTGGCGTCAGACCCCTGGATTTGAATCCTGGCTCCACCACTTACTGGCTTCGCGGTCTCCGGCAGTCGCTTCACCTCCGTTAGCTAGGTTTTCTTAGCGACAAAGTGCGGAGGTGAAGATAACTGCCTTGCCCCGTGACGGTGGGGCTGAGTGAGATAGGGCGGATATAGGATGGCTGGCATCCTACAGAAGACGGCCAGCCGAAAGCCCTCTCCCCCGAGGCGGCCACGTGTCACTGGCTGTACTCCTGTCCGTCTCTCTCTTCCGCTCTCTCACTCTCTGGGAGAAGATGTAGGGGAGTTTGAAGGAAAACCTGTTTCCTGAAGGTGGTGTGACAAGTGGGGGGGTGGGGCATCAGTCAGTATCTGCTCCTTATTGCAGGTGAACAGTGAGTCCAAAGCAAACATCACCTGTCTTGTGTTCAGCCACGACGGCACAGGTACGTGCGCAGGGCCCGGCTCCGAGGCTGGCGCGCCCCCTCTGCCCAGGGAGCTGCCGGGCCAGTGAGGCGCGTGCCCTCCGGCGCTCACCGCCGTGCCCTGGCTCCGAGTGGAGCAGCTGGGGAGTAGTCGCTGCTGGTGAGCACACGAGCGGGGAGGACACAGCAGACGACCCCCGGAGGCGCCGGGCGCCACCCGCAGATCAGATTTCGCGGCGCCCGGGCTCCTTGCCTGAGCAGGTGCTCACGCCTTCGGCTCCTCCTCGAGTCAGTGGGTGTGACCTTCCTGAGCATCCTGCTACCCCTGGGTTGGCAGCGTGTTCTCAGTCTACCCTGGACACCTGACCTGCCTGCCGTTCCAACCGAGTGAGATGGGTGCCATCCCCGGGTATTAGGAGGGGGCACTACCGGCCAGAAGCTGCACCCCAGCCCCCGACTCCTGGTCCCGGCTGTTTTTCAGCCTTTGCCTTCACTACTGTCTGCTTGTTCTTGGCAGAGCTCCTGGCCAGTTACAACGACGAAGACATTTACCTCTTCAACTCCTCTCACAGCGACGGGGCCCAGTATGTGAAGAGATACAAGGGCCACAGAAATAATGCCACAGGTGAGGCTGTCTTTTAGTTTCCGTCCGGTGGCTTAGAGAACTGCAGTGTTTCGATCAGGTTGTACAGATAAGAACTACCTGAGGGACTTGGCAGGGGGAGGGTGTCCCTGATTAATCGGCCAGGGGTTTTCACGGGCCTGCTGTGCTCAAGCACGGAGGGCCCGAGGCCCCTCGATCCCTGCAGTGAGGTTACTTCCTCTGGGCGTAAGGAGACGTGGGTGACTATTTTTCCAGGCGACTACAGGCTTGTCGGGCTTGTCGGGGAGTCTGGGAAAGCCGTCCGCCGCCCGTGGTACCGAACTGCCTGAAATGGGGAGCTGCTCACTCTAGGGTGGAGGGGGCGGTGGGCCTCTGGGAGGAGCCAGAGGAGGAGGAGGGTGGTGCTGGGGGCTCTTCCCCAGTCTGCGGCGGGAACGGCCGTCTGGGTTCTGCGGGCGGCTGCCTAGCTTCGCCGTGCCACGGACGCACTGCCGACCTTTCGGAAATGCCGGAGCGTGGCTTCTGTCTTCAGACATCTGATTCAGCTGGCGTGGGGTACAGCGTGGTTGGAGTTCTTGAGAAGCTCCCTACTGGACTCTCGTGTACAGAAAAGTTGGGGTGGCCACGGCTCTGTTGCTGCCACCACTCCCAACAAGTATCTGTCATAATTTTGAGTTGGAGGGACGTGTCCTTTCCTTCCGAGCGAGTGAGAGCGGGAGAACTTGGGCTTGGAACTTAGTCCACGGGCAGCCAGGGCGAGGGTGCAGCCCCGTGCTCGGCGCGGAGCTTGGGCCCCCAGCTCCCCTAGCCACGTCCCAGAGTGGAGCCCTGTTGTTCAGTCTTGGGTACGGGCGCTTCTTACGGGCAGCTGTGGCATATTCCTCCGTCGTCCTTAGCCCCACTGCTGGCCCAGGAAGCACTGACGGGGTCCTAAGGAAGCACACAAACCAAGGATGGGCCGGGAGTTCGTGGAACAGGGCTGCCTAGTGGGGTGATTCAGGCCGGGACAGGTAAGGCATTCGTGAGGCCGGGGGTGCCCCGCAGGGTATAGACCACGGTGATTGAGGCTGCCACCGAGGGACCGGAGCCCCTCTGCCCCACGGAGCTCTTGGAGGGACTAGAAGCAGGCTCGGGGAATGGCATGACTCTTGCTCTGTCTGTTGTATACGCACAAGCCCTTGATTTGGTTTGTGAAAATGAAAGGGATTCTGTGGCTCTTTGCTGACTCGGACTTTGTGAATAACTAAATTCCCTATGAGGTAAATACATACAGGCCTGATGCCAACTTCCGTGTGGTTTCTTCCCTCGTTCATCGTTTCAGTAAAAGGCGTCAATTTCTATGGCCCCAAGAGCGAGTTTGTGGTGAGCGGCAGTGACTGCGGGCACATCTTCCTCTGGGAGAAGTCCTCCTGCCAGATCGTGCAGTTCATGGAGGGGGACAAGGGAGGCGTGGTGAGTATGCTGTGCTGGCCTGGCCGGCTCCCTGCTCTTCTCGCCATTGAGGTAGGTGTTCGCGGGGCCCCTGAGTTCACTGTGGCGGCGCGATGCCCTGTCTTGGAGTCTGGCCAGCCACATCGAAGGCACCAGGGGGTGCTGAGGTTTGCATGGAATGTTTTCTCCCGTGTTCTGCCTTCTGCCCCTCTGAGGCATGGTTTGTTCGGGAGAGAAGGGGACTGTAGGGAAGAGCCTGTGGCCTGAATGAGGGGTCTCTAGCCATGCGCCTTTTCTGAAAGGAGAGCACTGGAGTTCAGGGCACTCCCATCATGCCCTGTGCCAAAGGGGTCTCCGTGCCACGTGCCTCATCCCTTAAGAGTAGCTGAGTAGGCATCTTGACTAGATCCTGGGTCAGTGGATACGAGGTAGAAGGAGCACTTTTCAGGCAGTTGGGAGACTCACAATATGGTCCACACATCCTTCCGTGGGGCAGTCAATGTTAGGTTTCTGTCATGTGACAATAGCATTTTATTTATATAGGAGAATATCCTTGTACTTAGGAGATACATATTAAATACGTAGAGGTGAAGTGTCATGTTTATATTTAAATGAATATAAACCCATAACATCTACATTTAGATAGGGACAGAGCAAATACGGTGATTTGTTGTGGTGGTGGTTTAAATAAGGACTGAGCAGCCTGCTGTACAGCCCATGAGCAGATCAGTCTGCCTGTCCTTTGAATTCCAGACCCCCTTCGTAGGGGTAGGGCAGAAAGGAAGCATGAGGGGTCCTGAATTGGGGAGTGAAGTACGGTCAGCTCTTAAGACCCATCTAGCTCATCATATATTTTTTTTCTTTTTTGAGACCCAGACTCTGAAAAGGAATTTAGTGGCTTCCTATTGTAAGGTTTTTGGACTGCAGAAGATCTGAAAGAGGCAGTTTGGGAGACTGCCTTGTACTGATTACCCGAGTCTGGTTAGGAGCCTGTCAGGAATGGCTGAGACAGCTTGGTCTCTCTCCCTTTTCACCCCGTCTCAGCTCCGGGCAGTTGCAAAGAGCCCATCTCTTCATGAGGTGTCCAGACAATGGTGGTGGAATTTAAAATGGTGCTTTGCAGTCAGGCTCCCTTTCCTTGTGTGTTTCTTGCCTTCACGTGAAGCTCTTTCAGATTTTTTTCTGGTTTTGTCTAAGTTTTTGGGACCTGGGGCCAGTAGAGATCCCAGGCTTCTCTGGCCTGGACGCATGTGGAGAGGGTGTGGAGCTTGAAGGCGTATCTCACTGTTGCCCGCTTCCTGTCCTGCCCTTCCGTAGGTCCTCCTCTATCACCTGCAGTGAACAAACTAAAACACTGGAGTCTTCGTGAGAATTCTGCAGTAGGCATGTAGTCAGAAGGAAGTCAGAAGGGCCCAGTGAATCCTTTCTAGATCATAAACTGTCTTGCGTTCCGTTCCGGAGAGACGCAGGGCCGATTGCCCTCTCCCAAACCACTCTGCAGGCCGGTTTGCTTTCAGCTCTGCCAATAGCAGGGTCTGATGGGTAATCCAGGTTCTCAGGTGGAGAGGGCAGCCGCTTGGGATAGGCGGGCCCCACGCCTGGGTCTGGTGGTCACGAGAGTGAGAGACCGGAACAAGAGATCAAGAGGCTGCACCCTGAAGAGCGTTTCCCAGCTTGTTCTTGTCCCCGTGTGAGCTTGATGATCTGTGTGTTCCCACCTGGCCACCTCCGTGTTTTTGGCCCTAACTTCCCCGCAGCAGGTCGCCAGGCGCCAGCCTCCAAAGAAGACGCATTGCAGCTCATTGTAAAGTAGAATATTACAGCCAGAAGGGATCTTAGAAGTTATCATCCGCCTTGCCCAGGTCTCTCGACTCTGGTTTTGCGTCAGTCTCTAGTCCTTTCTTTGTTCCCATTTAAGGACAAGGGGGTGGGGTTGATGTTAAGGACAGTCCTTGGTCCCCCAGAGCACTTCACTGCTCTGTCCCATCTGCGTGTCTCCCAGCCCAGGCCTCTTGAGGCTGGAGCTCGTTGCTCCGCTCAGGTTGTTACTGACCGGGTAGTGCTGGCGTTCAGACGGGCCTGGCCCAGAAGCTCTCTGTCGGCTCCCCCTGCGGGCTCCAACCCAGGTACTATACGGTATTGACTGCTGTCTCTCTTGCCCTTGGCTTTGTCCTTAGTCCCAAGTTCCAAGGGATTTTTTTGATTTTGCTGACTTGCTCCAGGAGAGGTAGTCAGGGTGGAGGGCTCATCAGGAGGCGGCGGAATGATCTCTGGTTTGTACGTGTAAGTTGTCACGTATCTTTGGATAATAATCTCCGGCAGCGGAGCTCCTGTCTGGGGTCTCCTCATGCCGCAGATGCTGAGAACTGTCCGCACTACCCGAAAAGAGCTCCAGTAGAAACTTCGCAGTGAGCTGATACGGGGCTTGAGAGAAGGAGAAGAGGGGAAACGTGGTTTCTGCTTTACTCTCAGGCTCGGGCTTCACTTCAGTCTTCTCTGAGCATTTATTTACTTGTAAAATGGAAGAACAAAGACGATTGGAAGCCCGGGTCAGTATTATTTTCCATGCTGGCCCCAGTTTCCCCTCAGCTGCGCTCTCTGCGTGTGCAGGCCAGGCAGAGGAGGTTGGTCCAGAGAGAAGGAAAAGATAAAAGAGGCTTTTTGCCAGGGGTTGTTTTTTTGGCCTACGGGGGCAGCTGCAAGGCGGGATGGGATGGTGGGGGGGGGGCACGGGTGAGGACCGGCTAGGGCCACACCCTCTTCCTTCCGGGTGCCTTTCCTATCTATTCTTCGGCTGACTAAGCCCCAAAATGCTTTAGCAGCTAGATCTGGGACCAGCTCTTCCAGTGGCCCTGGGAGCTGCCTGCCCTGCCCTGCCCTGCCCTGCCCTGCCCTGCCCTGCCCTGCCCTGTTTGGAAGGCTGATGTTTCCAAGTTAGACAGCAGGGGGCATGGGTGCCTCCAGACAGAAGGAAGCCGCTGAAGCCAGAAGGCCTGCCTGTCTGCCACAGTCCCTTTCTCCTGCGCAGTCACTGTACCCAGAGGTGGTTTAGATTGATGCCATGGATGCCCCAGGAAGCTGTGTTCCTACACTGTGCCACCCTGTGGCTGAGCCTGTTGGGCTTTCTGGGTGCACAGCAGGATGCCATCCCCCTGGGGCGTGCAGGGTTCTCCAGCATCCGCGTGCCTCCACTGCCTCACCCCTCCCCAGCCTGTGCCTCCCTCCAGTCCAAGTAAACCGTGCCAAGTGAATGTGATTGTTCTCTCTTTTCTGGGGGCTCAGCGGCAGCTGCTGCTTTCTTCATTTTTAAAAATTTATTTGCCATTTGGTGAAAGGCACTGAGATGTTTTTTTTCCAGCCTTGGGCAAGTTGGAACTGTGGAATCCGGAGTAGATGAGGTCATCTGGACCTCATTGCCTTTTTGTGAAGCCAGCAGTGAGCTTGGCCAGTCACCTGCCTGCCCCTGCGGCTGTGTCTAGGGCGAGGCCACCCCTGCCTATACCTGGGAGATGAGAGATGGGCCTGTTCTATCTATCCAGTCTGTGTCCGGCGCTTCTTCCACCCCCAGGGCCCTTGGCCTGCGTTCGTGATGGTTGGGCCTGCCTTCCCAGCACTCTCTCAGCTCTGATTGAGGAATAGGTTTGGCTCAAGGTGAGTAGTGGTTTTTAAGTCCTATTCCCATATACCCCTGAGCCTGTGGTTTCCTTTCCTCTTGACCAGGTAAACTGTCTTGAGCCCCACCCTCACCTGCCTGTGCTGGCAACCAGCGGCCTAGACCATGATGTCAAGATCTGGGCACCCACTGCTGAAACTTCCACTGAGCTGACGGGGCTGAAGGATGTAAGTGGCTGACTGCGGAGGTCCATGTTGCACTTTGAGTCTAACACCCTCCCCCACACGGCTGTGATTGGCCCTCGGGGAGCATCCCCTGCGCAGGGGTCCAGGGGCAGCTGTGGAGTGCCCTGAGTTCACAGCGGAGTGGGGAAGGGGGGTCTTTAGGAAGAATCGTTCTATTTTAGAGCTTCCTGACCTTCTCAGTGGATAAACCTGGGGCACCCTTTCCTAATCTGGTCTGGCTCCCCTTCGGCTTAACAGCTCCTGAAGGACGTTTTCAGGGGGATGGGGCGCCAGGCCCTTCTGATCAGGGCCGGGGTCCCTAGTCGTTACTCGCCACACTCACCCCCAGCACCCTCTCTGGTTCAGGTGATTAAGAAGAACAAGCGGGAGCGGGATGAAGACAGCTTGCACCACACTGACCTGTTTGATAGCCACATGCTCTGGTTCCTCATGCATCACCTGAGACAGAGACGCCACCACCGGGTAAGCTGGCGTGGGGGGGTGGGCGCCCGGGGGCGGTGACCCCCGCAAGGGTCACGTGTCCTAGCGCACACTTCCTCGCCATTTTAAAAAGCGATCAGGTGGTCGTGGTTGGGTTTCTTATCCATTGTCCTGCACCCCCACCAGAGCCCTGGTGTAGCCTTGGAAGAGCCACCAGGCAGACGGGTGGGGTCTGCTCTCTGCTCTCCATCGCCGTGCGTGAGAGCGCGGTGTTTGCAGAGGCGTGAGGGTGGGGAAGGAGTTGGGAAAAATGGTAAGTGTCAGAGTGACTTTCTGTTTTTCCTTCTGCCCGAAGAGGCCTAGGGCAGGGGTTAGCAAACTCTGGCAGTTGGCGTGCTGCCTGTTTTGGCAAATAAAGTTTTACTGGAATACAGCCATACCCGTCCATTCATGTTGTCTGTGGCTGCTTTCGTGCTACCACAGCGGAGCCGAAGAGTTGCAATAGACATGCAATAGACGTGATCGGTAATAGTTATTATCTGGCCCTCTTAAGGAAAAGTCCGCCGACCCCTGGCCTAGAGCACCTGAGTTACAGTTAAGACCTAACAGGCTTGTCCTCTTTGTGGGGAAACTACTAACAAGCCTTTCCCATTCTACAGCGCTGGCGAGAGCCTGGGGTTGGGGCCACAGATGCAGACTCGGATGAGTCCCCCAGCTCCTCAGACACATCGGACGAGGAGGAGGGCCCCGACCGGGTGCAGTGCATGCCTTCCTGAGGCCTTGGACCCAGGAGGGGCGGGCCGGAGCTGCCAACCCCGATCCTGCCTGGACAGCCCTTTCCTGTCTCAGGCCCTTACCTTCAGCAGAAACGCACTTTGGACTTTTTGCTTTAGATAAAAGAAAGACCTCCTGGGAGAAAGACAGACCGGAGGGGGCGCGAACCTGCGGAGTAGCTAGGAGTAGGAGCCAGGCCCTGGCATGGGCTCCGCGGAGAGGTGCAGAGGGCTCAGCAGAAACGGCCTCTCCCCAAAGCCTTGTTTTTTTTGGGAGGGGGGAGCCTATTTTGTTAACTGGTTTGGGGTAGGGAATGGGGTTTCCTTTTCTTTAATCTCCCTTGTTTCTTGGGTGGGGGGCGGGGATAACTGGCTGTTCAGTACCAATGGGCCGGGGTGGGGGCGGTGGATGTGCCGTTCTCTCTTTGGTTTAGGTTGTTGACCTTTTTCTTTATGTTTTAAAAGTCTGTGACAGTTGCATTCCCCTGCCCCCCCCCCCCCCCCCCCCCCCCCCCCCCCCCCCCCCCCCCCCCC